TGCGTCACACCTCAACCCGCCTCAAAGCCAACGCTGATTGGACGTTCGTTTGGTGAACGGCTCCAAATTTTCTTTAACGGAGAATCTCCAGAATGATCTGAGAGTGAAACCTTGAAAGCTCGCGAGATCAGGATGGTCTCACGAGGCTAGAACATCTCTGTATGGGGGCTATAAATCTGATATCTGAGACGTTCTGCTGCTGAAGCTCCTCAGAAATGTTATTAGCACCAGAACAGTAGCGAGAAGTTCGGCATCCATTCTGCTTTGTGTGTCAACTATTAAAGGCTGGTTTATGCTCAGAAACCAGGTCGTCTGAATTGGTGTCGCAGTGAACACAGATATGCCCCTCCCCCTTCCGCAGATACTCTGCAGTTCACCCAAATTGTAGGTGACCGCAGACAGGAGGCCTCTCATTGGTCAAATCTACATCCGCTCTACTCTATGCGTATTTCCTGTTTGGTTCCTTACTGGCTTGTTTTGTTTGTATGACCGCCATTGTGGAAATCGACTGGTGAAGATGGACCAGCTAGCAGAGCGAGGTGCGCGAGAACGCTGGGACCCTCTTTTTGGCCCTCATGTCCCTCCGTTGTCGCACAAACTCGCCCCCACTTCCTCACCGCCGTATCTAGACCCACAGCTAGTTCCTGATTGGCCCTCTGGCGTTGTGGCGTGGAATAACAGCGCAGACCACGCTTCAATATTGGGCATAAATCAAAAATATCTGCGACGAACTCGACGATAACCAGGCCTTAACGGTTGCTAGGTGACAGAGCGTATGGGCAGTGAAAGCCGGAGAAGGCTGGACCTGTTTGAGTCCAAAACTTTCCCATCCTCCTTATTAGTCCAGTCCAGGTAGGTAGATAACGAAGAAACCCACAGATTTTAAGACAGGATTTCTTATTAAATAGAAATTTTCCAACTTTTGGGACAATATCGTCTAATGAAGAGTACATTTATATACATGTTTAAGCCTGAATGATTCGACATTTAAATTCCTTATGACTTTAAATGTTTTTTGTACTTAATTGAAGGGATACACACCCATTGAGGTAGTTTAAAGTGTATTACTCATACAAAACTAAAGGGATATTGACTATGGGTATGCTGGTCTGACGGAACACCGGCTTTAGCTTAGATTTAGAAATATTGGACACCTACACATGTTTATATGGATAGTTAATTTACCCGATTGTAGGAATGAGACTCCATTTAACAGAATCAACACTGTTCTGTCCGCTTTGGATGAATCCATCTTTTCTGGTTTTGTTTCCTTCCCTGAACAGAGACATCATCCTCCAGAGTACGCCGACTGACGACCCCTCAGCTCTGAGCAACCTCTACATCTTGACCGGTCATGAGAGCAGCTACTGAGCCGCTGGACAGGCTCCATTGATTCAGCCAATAAAATCCAGAGGGTTTTACCTCCCACAGTTAAGGAATGACCCGCACTGAGCTGGAGGTGAAACAGCCCACAGGGTCGTACTGGGATTCTGCCGAGGTGTGGCTGCCATCCTTAATCTGGCAGAAAACCGTCCTTCTAATGAACTTCTGATGAACAGACGCAGGAAATCAGACCTCTGATCATTAATGGGAGCTTTTTATTGAGTCCAAGTGTGTCAGAATTTCCACAAAATGTCCGGTTCCAGAAAGAACTAAGGTCCGATTTGGTTATGATTGATACTCACTGAGACTAATAAGGGATATTTAAATGAGTTCATTAGCAAAGAGCTAGAATGCCTAGAGAAGTACCAAGGCACTGCCCTCAGAGATGGAGGGAGCCCATTAAAAACTGTGCTAACTGGTCTCTGCTTGTCCTCTTCAGCCGTAATTTATCACCACGAACATTAGCAAGATATTAAAACCTTGAAGTGCAGCCATGAAAATGCGGTCTGTTAAGACATAAAATAAGTTGGACAGTCTAGGTTAGGAAGGATGAAACCAGGCCTAGTTTTCCTTCTTTGTTATATGCTGTGGAAATTAGAATTTTGGACTTAATCTCTGGATTTTTCACCTCTGAGCTCATTCATCTCTGAAATATAAAACTCAGCAAATGTACCCTCTTACATTTTTCTTTGCAGTAAAACTTCCTGTTTTGAGATGCATTAAATGGTAGCGGCAGCGCAGTACTACCAGGGGCCTATAGGGGTGCTAAAGCTGACGTTACCTGTGTAGGTACCAGATCTACTCGGGCCCTGCTTCATGCAAGCGACGCTACGCCATATGCTTGGCTGAAGATAGACAATAACAGACATCCCAAGTGTCCTGGTAGTTCCTGGAGTCTCCCTGATATCGATACTCGTTCACTGATGCCTGCAAGTCGGATAAATTATCCCGGAGTTTAGACTATGGGAGGTGGGGTTTTTTTTTTATGCGAGTGAGAGCGGGCAGGCAATACAATAATTCGTGCACCAAGTGCAGATTAGAACTACTGCGATTGCATAGACACAACAAGAGAGATCGTGGTGTGGAGGGAGGTTGCTGGTGTGCAGCGTTTCTGTCCAAAGCGATGCTCTGATCAACCAGCGATCCAGGAGACTGGTTGATCACAGAGACAATAAGTAACATTATGAGAATAAAGTCATAAAATCAGGAGATAAAGTCG